GGATCGCTCTGCGCCATCGAGGTCGAGGGGCTTAAGCGCCACCCATGGAGGTGGGCGGCCTAAGCCTTGAGTTCAGGGTTTAGGGTTTCCACACGGTCAAGGGCAGGCAACAGTAACAGAACTGTTTGCGAACCACGAGCACGGAAAGCTCAGCAAACTTGGAGCAGCGTTCACAAGTGTAGCGCGGATTGTGCTCGTGTGGCGGAGGTGAAAAAAGCGCAGCGGGCAACCTTTCTCCGGCCATGGCCATGAAATCACACGACTTCATCGCACCGCTACGCCCCCATCGGCTTGTACGTGTGTTACTGTTGACCGAAGTCAGGCCGACAGTTCGGATCAAGGTCGCAACGGGACTGCAGGCTGAGGCTACTGCGGCAATGGAAGTCAGTCTCTGGTCGTTGACGAAGCCGTCACCATTCCTTCACGCACAGGTTTCTACAGCCGCACAACACCGCCATGTGAGGCAGTCAGGACAAGGCACCCGTCCAGAAGCGACCATGCTGCCTGCTGTGAATCACTGGGCCAACGAGGAACGAGGTAGTTACATACGACACGGCATGCCTTGGCATCCTCGATGCCGCGTCCTTGCCAAGCATGCCGACCGGGTGGAACTTGGCCAACACTGTTGATCAACGGGCCTTCTGTATAGGGCCTGGCAACACTGAGAAATTCTTTCCGACCTCGACCAATTGCAAGCAGAAAGATGTGCCGAGCTATCCACGGGTCAAGCAGCTGAGTCCGCAGCCAAGTGTGCCGTCTGAGTCCGCGTCTGCGGCAAGAAGCATTGCCACCAAGGTGGCCTGTGATGAGCTTGTGGATTGTCATCCACCCTCAGAGCGAGCCGATAAAGCTGCAAGCGGCGGGAAGCAGCTGTCGCCGTTCGGCGTCTTGAAGCTCCTGCTCGTCCACCTGGAAGGCATTCATCACTTCAATCGCAGGCTCGACCACAGGCAACCAGCTAGGGCGACACCGTACTTGTGTCACTACGGTATGACCCTGCGAATTGGCAATGGCACGCCCGCAGCCTTTCCATCATGGTTTGCATCAACATCGAACCACAGGGCATCAGCGGCACTGCTGTCATCCTCGGCTAGAGCAAACTGCAAATGAACCAAAGAGGCCAGAACTGATTCGCACAGACCGTGGTCACAAATTCGAAGCTCTTGGCTTGAGCGACTTGGAGCTTTTGGGCGGTGCCCTAGAGAAATCTGAACCGGCCTGACGCATTCCTGTAGTTTCTGGAAATATGCCGTGCTGTCGAACTCGTATACAGGTCCTAGATTCTCTCACATCGACCATCCTCCTCTTGTCGTCGATACAACCGTGTTGGCTTGCGCTGACTGGTCCTATCTGAACAGCTGAGGCCTTCACAGCCAATGCGGCCTCGAACTCTTCACGATCCAGCCTCCAGAGAGGAACAAAAATCTAGAAAGAGTTACAAAAGAGTTACTAAAAGAGAGGTCCACCACTGACATTGGGAGTCCCGGCAAGCCGTTTCCGTTCCGATCACCTTTCGAGAGCTTCTGCGCCACGGGCGCCAGCTCCAAGAGCTCCTCGGAAGCTCGAAGAGCAGAGCCTCAGAGCCTCAAAGCCTCCGCCAAAATTCCTCCCACTCCTGGCAGGACTCTGACACGCTGGCCGCCCTCTGGTCAGAATCTGCACACCTGCCAGGCAGCCCTCCCCGCTCTGCATTGGAAGATGTTGCGACTGCGATCGTACTGAATGCCAAAGTTTCAGAACTTCGGCAAAATCCCTCAGCGCCTCCATGCCGCTTCGATGAGAGTTCTCATGACCGTCGTGGCGGTCCTGCAACTGACATTCTAGCTGCCAGTGCACAGTCATCAAACAAATCACACAACTGCCAGGTCCACCCGCTGGTCCAAGTGCAAGGAAATGGATCTCCAAGCGGTTCTGGCAGCCACGGTTCGCAGAAGGAGCACTGCCCGAAACCAGAAAGCCAAGGACGGGTTGCCAGAACTGCCTCTGAATCTAACATGAAATCATGCCAGGGACGCCGTCGTGCCTTCATGTGATGTCTCGAGTGCCAGAGGTATAAAGAGCGCACAACACATGATATGAGTAGGTCCGTGGCCGGTGCAACACCTGTGCCTGGACACATCACCAGAAAGCAAGTTGCTCATCCTGATGGCAGCAAGGGGCCTCCATGTGGTAGAGCACCGCAAACAGGCCAAGTAGGATCAGCACTACACCGCAACAAACCTGTCTGCAATCCATGCGATACCCTCGTGGCGTGGAAGCTGCACCGAGGCCCCAGCACATCGGATTTTGGGCTTGTAGAACTTAAAGGTGCGGACCTCGGACTGCACAGGTGGGCCCTGGGTATGTCCTTGCATGCTTGGAATCCAGCTCGCTCAACGTCGTATTCGCCTCGACCTTCCCCTACATGCTGGTAGCCTGGCACCTCATGCCGCTCAACGGCAAGGTGTTCAAATTCAATATACAATTGACCAGGGAGAATCACTTGAGGACACTGCCAACATGTACTGGCCCCTGCCCTCTCCCACGTTGGTCCACTTTGTGGACACCTTTTCATTCCCGAAAGCATGAGTTGATACGTGCAGACCGACCCAGATGCAACGAAGCAGTGGCCTGATCATCTTGAAGGCATGAATCGCAACCTCGGCCGCATGCCAGGATCCGTAGGGGATGACTTCATCTCTTCGGGCGTAGATGTAGAAATAAGATGAACTTTTTCACGGAGACGTAGAGGCGATTCTGGCCAGGACAAATCAGCTGCACTGTCTCTTGTTAGAACTGTTTCGGACAATGCATCACACACACCCACCCACCCACCCAC